TGTTCACTTTTAGTGTTTTTTGAGATTGTGAGAGACTGTTACAATACAATATAATGTAACATTATGTAATATATGTAAGAAACATGATGTAACATGAAGTTTTGTAACATAACATAACACTTTTGAATTAGTAAATGTTTTATATTGACTAAAGTAGAATCTAATGCAAAACGATTTATATTAATTATATGTTTAATTGATTTTTTGGTTTTACGACCAAACGATTGATGCAATTAAAAATCCAATGTCATATTCAGACTCAGCATACTCAAATTAATTAAGAAACATCAAAAAATTTTGATAAACAGAAAATTTTTTTTTTTGTTACATTGTGTCTTTTGATAATTTTGCGAAGCCTTTAGGCACGGAGTTTGAAATGGCGTTTTTTATCGAAAAACTATTTTATATTGTTCGCACAATTGATGAAGGAAAAATAATACACTTTGTTCGCCTTATTTGAATACTGAGGTTAATGTTATGTTATTTCTAATGTTAGAAACGTCAGTACTGAGTAGCTATAACTTTTCTAACATTTTATGATTAAAATAAATTAAAGTGATTATCTTGAAGTGTATCATTTTCAAAAAGAGTTTTAATTATAGAGTTTTTCCCTTTTTTTAAAACTGTATAATTTAAAATAATTGTGATAATAAAAATAAAGTTCCGTTAAATAATCCCAAAATATTAGAAAGATAAACTTTTGCTTTTCTTAACTTCAAATCGCAAATTGTCAATTTAAATTTAAGATTTTTGGTTTTCATTCGCTTTTTCAAACCATTTCTGATTTGCAATGTTTCTAAGCAGAAATATTCATTTATATAAACGTTTTTTTCTTTCACATTAAACAATTCGTACAGAATTGCTCTCTATTTAAATTACAACTTTATCTTTAAAATTTAAAAGCTTTAACACTACTCTTCTAGGCTCGTTTGTTTCTTTTTTTTTTCAATTCATGAGCCGTTCAATGCGGACATTTTTAACAGATATTTTTTAATTTTTATTTAAGGTGCCTTACGGTCTTATCACAGCGCCGCGGAAGAGCGTTTGAAAGGAAGTTAACGCCTCCTTCCTTACTGATGTTCCTGAAGGTAGCCTTGAATCAAAAAAAAAAAAAACCTTTAGCTTTTGAGGCAAGTGAGTTAACCACTGCGCTACGGCTGCCCCACTAAGTTCATATTAAGTCCAGGGCCGAATTTACCTATAGGCTAACTAGGCTGCAGCCTACCCAGTAAGCACGGGACGTAAAAAGGACCTCTTTTAAACGTTTTTTGAATCGTTTGAACGTCTTTTGACCGTCTTTTGAAAGTTTTAGACATCTTTTGAACCTTCAATAGACGCCTTTATTTAGAATCCACTGGGTGCCCACTAATTATGGGAGGATCAAAATGGGTTTAAAAAGTGTTTGCTTAGAGTTTTTAGGGATTACTTTATAAAATTATTATTTCCATGATTGTAATAACTGCTATACAACAATTCTCTCTGGAAATTTATTAACATTTTGTTATTGATCATACATACAATCATGAAGTTCAATTTGCACAATCATTAAGATTGTGCAAATAGATCTGTATGTATGTATGTATGTATGTATGTATGTATGTATGTATGTATGTATGTATGTATGTATGTATGTATGTATGTATGTATGTATGTATGTATGTATGTATGTATGTATGTATGTATGTATGTATGTATGTATGTATGTATGTATGTATGTATGTATGTATGTATGTATGTATGTATGTGTGTATGTATTTATGGTGAATCCAGGATAAATAAATACATACGTTGTCAATATGTATTAACTTGTAAATAAAGTTTTATTGTTGCATGATAAACACTTTGAAGATTATATTACATTGTGATTATATGACTGATGTAAGTTATATGATATTTTTACTGATGTAAGTCATATGACTTTTTATGTTCGGCGCACTACAGTTGGATATTGCAAATGCTTTTACTTCTTGAAAGTTTTGAAAATAAGTAATATTTACACGCAACTTTTATTGACTTAGGTCTGACAGTTGTTTTTAACTAAATTTTAGTTGTTTTTAACTAAATTTTTAACTAAAACTTGCAAAATCTAAAATTTATCTCTATCCCGTCATGTTTTTGAACCATAAAATTTTAAAAGAAGCTAAAAAACATTGTACTTGACAGATAAATACTATTTTTCCCTTTTTAGAAGAAGTTAAAAAACATTGTTCTTGACAGATATATATCATTTTTTAAAAATTTTCAAATATAAAAATATAATAAATGTAAAACAAACAAGCACAACAGCAATGTTTATTAAACACAATTATGTTTTTTGTCTCAACAAAAGCCATATAATGAAATTGATGTCAACCAGGCTTAGCTACAGCTAATAAATAATAATAACACCATTTGATATTTAAATTCTTTGAGTCACTGGTATTGTAACTCTATCATATGATTGTCTGCCTATTTTTTCTATTGTAAAACTAAATTTAACGATACTCGTCATTTTGGCTAGACTAGAAAGCCATCATCAATACAATATATAATTTTCTTTTTTAGCTCTATTATAAGAAAGGTTTATAGGTGCGATCGTGATTTCTAAAAACTCAATTAAAAGACAAATAAAATATTGAGCCAAATCTGTACTCTATTTTTTTTGATTTTACAGACATTTTTTTGTAACCTTTATTAACTTTTATTGAGCACGTTAATCATAAAACAAGTTTTTTATTTTTACTTATATATTTATACTTGTTGTATTTTTATGCGTTATTTAATATAATCATACACAAAGTTTTTTTTCTCTTTATATTCTCAACACAATAACAAATTAAATGAAATAAATTAATTAAAAATAATAAATTAAAACAAAAACAAAAAAAAAAAACAAAAAAAAACAAACAAACAAACAAACATTCTACTTACATTTATTTTACAAAACAATAAAAAAAAAAATTCAAAGAAAGAAGCGACAAGAGATTTTTATTCAACTTTTATGGTCTGGTTCTCTATTTTTGTCTTCTGCTATTTTTGTTTTAATTTTACGCTTAACTTTTGCAACATTAAACGTATTAACATCGGTGAAGTTATGAAATCTATAATGTTTTGTATTAATTATTTATTTTTGTATAATATTCAACAAAATATGTTTTTACAAACATAAACTACCAGTTTGTTGTCATAATTTGCTTTGATAAAATTAAAACATATAAAATTAAAAAGCAAAAAATGGAATAATTGTTTAGCTTTACGTGAATAAAAACTTGAACAAAGTCCCTCAAATATTTAATTTACAAGTTCAATTTTATATGTAAAGTTAAACAATTTACTCCAAAAACGCAGAGTAATTGCTCAGCTTGACGTCAATAAAAATTTGATCAAAATTCCTGTTTTTTCCACGTAAAACTAACCAATTACTGAGTAAAAACTTTATTTTATTCACCCGGCCTATTGTTTACTCAGTTTGCAACAGTTTTGTAACTGTGACGTTCGCGGAAAAAATAAACGATGAGTTTAAAGTTGAAATTTTTTTTTTAAGTATTAATCAAAATAGATAATATAATATAATAGTTAAAATAATCTATTACATATATATTAAACCGAGTTGGTTTTGTCACTTTTGCTGCTTTAATGTTATCTGTCCAACCTAATACTTCATGCCAATAACTAATTAATATAGAATTAACTATTTTTAGTTCAACCGCATTTAAAAGTTTAAAAAAAAAATTATTTATGTTCATAAATAACAACTTGTATTACACACATATGTATGGACAATTTCGCTAATGTAAAGAGTTCAATAATTACGTTTTACTATCACGTTAAAAACATTCTGTGCTCGTGTCAATGCAAAAGCATGCTCATTCATCTACCTATGCTACATCGCTCACACAGCAACAAATTAATTATTCTGAGCCATTTGCTATTCTTTGATTAGACAAAAATTTGCTTTTCTTTAAGCTACTTGCTTTTTTTTTTGATTGAACGAGAACTTCCTTTTCTTAGAGTCACTAGGTAGTTTTAAATTGAACGAGAACTTCCTCTACTTAGAGTCACTAGATAGTTTTAGATAGAAAAACAGAGGTTTTCTATTCTTTAGATTTTTTTTGCTTTTTCATCAGTTTTTTTAATTTTTTCAGCGCTTTCTATGTTTGCAATTTGAAGTTTTACGTGACTTGGGTTCGATATCTTTTTTGAAGAAGGAATAGCTGCTCCTATTAATAAAAATCTTTTTACTAAAACACATTGCTATCTCTGAATGACTCCCTTTTTTTGTACTCGTGTTCCTTTACAGTATTACGGAGGGTATAGCCAACATTAGACGAATGCATCTATACAATTAATCTTTTAACAAACAATCTCTTACCATTTACTGTTGATAAAATGGATAATTTTTGACTTTTTGTGACTAGGATGTAATCGCACTTTTTATTTTTGGAGGAGTTTGGAGATAAAAGGTCAAATTTTTGGAGATAAAAGGTCAATTAAGACAAAATAGTAACATTTTTACACCATAAGACTTTTATAAACCTTATTTAATAGTTATTTATACAAATCAAGCAGGGAGCTATAAATATTTATTATAATTTTTAGTGGACTAACTCAGAAAAATCTACCAATTTTTATTTAAATGATTCAATAGTTTTCTGGTCTATCATTTGAAGAGCAAACATTAACTTTTGCGTAACGTTATTATATAACAATATTTTTGCATTTACAATGCACCTGTTAACGCTTTTAAATAGAGTTCATTTACAAGGATTCAACGGGCTTAACTAAAATTAAAGGAACTATCGAGTTATTTAAGTTACTAACTCGCATTCAATGTTTATTTAACAAATAAATTTAGTTTTACAAATAAATAACTTTTATTGGAAATAACTCTGCTTAAATATTTAAAAAAAAAATTTTTTTTAATAATATAAACATATATTATAAAAAATATAAAAAAACTATTATAATATAAAAATATTATTTTAACTATAATATAATAAACTAAACAATTTAAAGAATACCTCTTGAAATAATGGACCACACACATCTTTTGGACAATGGAGCCTACCTGTTCGACAATAGTTTAATATGTTCTCAAAGCATCCTGGGTGCCTGTCAAAAAAAAATTCACTAGCCTCAACGTTAACATTTTCCATTGCCAATGCAGTCTCAGCTATCCAAAACAATCTTGTATCCGGAAAGTTTTGAATTGTGCTGATATAGCATTCGTGTCTCGATCCTCCAACATTTATAACAACTCGATCAATATTTTTTTTTAGACATTCTGGTTTCATAAATTCTTTGTGATTTTTCTTTTGCAAAAGCTCAATTTGTTGTTCTCTGAAAATAAAAAATAATGAAAGAAAGGTGAACTACAAACTTTAGCCTTTAATAAAGTAAAACTCACTATTTAAAAATAATGCTGATCATACTTTTTCATTGGATTCAAGTTAGCTATGGTAAACTTTGGTAATAATACGGCCAGATATTTTGCGTTTTAAAGAAAAAAATGTCAGCTTTTTTTATAACGCGGTTTTAAAAAAACAGCTGTGGAAATTCAAAGAGTATGGTTCAAATTGATGCATTGGGAATTATTCAAATTATATTCTTAAAGTAAATTGTATTTCTGTTTCCGGCTAATTTTTCTGTTCTATACATCAAACATTTTTAAGAAAAATAATAAAGTATAAAATAAGAATAGTATAAAATTAACCAATGCTTTCGATTAATAAAAACACTTTTAAATTACTTTCTATTGCACTAATTTGACCATGGAGGGTTTATCACAACTTTAAAATCTTTTTATTCACCTTCAACCAATCAAAATCGGCAGCTAAATCAAAATCGCCAAACAAAAAAATATTTCAAAAAATTGTTTTCTGAACGTATCTTTGTTTTATAAATTACTTCTTTTTTTAAAGTATCAGAAATAACTTGTTTTATTTCCAGACTTTAAAATGTGTGTGGGGAAAGGGGGGGGGGGCTTAATACCACAGTTAATTTGGTTTTAGGATCCTATGATTATATGTGGTGGAAAAATTATTCAGAGCCCTTTCAACTATATTTATGAAAAAAAACCTCACTTTTGATGCTCGTCTATGTAAAGCGCTAAAAGTAGCAAAGAAAGTACTACATCCTGAAAATTTTAAACGAAACGTTTTATTAGCGCTTGCAATTTTAGATGATGCAACTGCAGCTGTTCACTCATACTTCCATGATCTTCAAAAAATTGTAGATTTTTTGCATTATGTTACTAGTCGTGGGTTTTATTGAATTCAAAACGTTCAGTGTTTAATATTTTAGGCTATGCAGTTGCTTCTGGCATAAAAACCCAAAATTCTTAAGGCAATAGAATATTAGATTTTTTAAGAAGTTTACTTTAAATTTTCTAACAGCTTTAAATTTTAATAAAATAGGAGACTTCCGTGGGCTTCAGTACATACATCAATTGACCAAATAAGGAGCACATGCAAGGAATTTTGCTGCACCGACTAAGGGTGAACTTTGATGAAAATTTGAAAGTGTTAATCGTGTCAGAAAAAAAGGTTAAGAGTTGTTACTACAGTTCTGTGTACTCCAGAAACCATGACCCTTACACCAGTAAGAATGGGCATTAGCTTTCATATTACTAGATATATAATAAAGAAACTGATTAAATGTCTTGGTATTTGTTGAAAAAAGTTGTTATGTTGTGCTAACATCGAAGATAGTAATCACACATTGATGATAGTAAACAGAGCATAACAACTTTTTGAAACATATACCAAAGCATTTATTTAGTTTCTTTACTATATATCCAGTAATATGAACGCCAACATCCGTTCTTTCTGTTGTAAGGGTTTCTGGAGTAAACTGAACTGAATCAACAATTCCTAAATTTTTTTTCTGACTCGAGTGACACTTTCAAATTTTCATCAAAGTTCACCGATCCTTAGTTGGTGTAGCAAAATTCCTTGCATGTTCTCCTTGTTTTATAAGATGAATATGTACTGAAGACCCCAGAACCATTTACTGAAGACCCCAGAAACACGATTCAAAAGTAATGATTATAATCATCACTTTTGGATTATATTTGCGCACCCTTTGTACAATTGACTACTTTTATAAAAAAATATGAACATTTTCAGAATTTTTTTTACAATCATTTCTACTAGCGAAATAACAGTTAATTGCATAAAGTCCTTTAGAAAAAAAAATTGGTAAAATTTAATGTATAAATTGCCTTCAATATAACTATTTTTATTTTGACCATAATAGATTTAAATATTTTATATACTGTTCTTGTTTCTTAAATTAAATTTAAGTTTGTTTACCAAAATTCTAAATTTAAAAAGACTTGGTTTAAGTCTAAATTTTAAAAGGTTCTGTTAACTTTTTATTTTGAACAAAAAAAAGGTTAGTTGTAATCAAGTACACCGTTACCGCTCCTTTTTCTTGTGTAATGATCGCCTAAGATCTTGTGTAATGATCGCCTAAGATCTAAATTTATAAATGGATACTTCTTTTGTGAACCTTTTAAATAAATAAAGTTCTGTAAGTTTATAAATTACAATAATTTAAAAATGTAAAATTATAAACTTAAAAGTCTTTAGTTTTAGAAACGTTAAGATTTTAAAAAATTGATCTTTTAGATGTTTTATTATAATGCAAATTATCCAACCGTGTCAACAAAGTAGATCATGATCCCTATTCAAAATGGTACTGGATGCTAATGATAGTTTTATCAATTTTTTTTATAACCTAATTTTGTTTTAGAACAATTTTAAAATTTTATCATTTTAAATTATACATTTAAATCTGATCGGTAAGTTTTTTTTTTTGCTTATCCGTTTCCTTAAAGAGAGAGAGACAGAGAGAGAAAAAAAGAAAAATTCCATGTTTGGAGCCTGGGAACAAAAAAACCCTAAAGTTTTAGCTGCAGCTGCCCCAAACGCGAGAGCAACAAGTTGATAAAATAATTTCTATACTTTTCTTAACTATATCTATATTCATCTATGATTTTTAAAATTCGCAGAAACTTATTTTAGTGTTCAAAAATTATGACCATAAAAAGTTTGAACCCCCTCAATTTGAAGAGGTTTCAAATTTTATTAGGCCATAATTGTTGAACGCAAAGAGGTTGTTGTGTGTGGTTTTAAAATTTATCGATGAATATAAACTAGGTTGAGAATAGTAAAAAAAAGTATTTGATGAACTTGTTGCTCTCACGTTTGGGGCAGGTGTAGCTAAAATTTTGGATTTTTTGTTCCCATGCTACAATCATCGTAATTTTTTGCATAGCATCCTTATTTGATATAAATATAAACATAGAAATTTTTGGAGTTTGCTCCATGTCTGGAAGTAAGGTATCTCAAACATCAAAAATTTGTTTATTTTTTACATGTTTTTTAACAAACAATAATTTCTTTAAAAAAACATTTTTTTCTTTTATTTGCAATACTTCTTTGTGAAAAAATGCAACTTGTATTTTTATTATCTGGTTTTTCTATTTTTTATTTAGGTATTGCATTTTTTTAATTCATAAATTGCGTTTTTAATGACGAATAACATGTTACTTAGTAGATTCCAAAAAATTAAAATTTCACGAAGCTTTGAAATTTTCTCACTGTTTATTTCATCTTTTAAAATAAAAAAATAAAAAAAAAATAATCAAAAAAAAACCCTTTCTAACCTAATAACTAAGGTTTATTACAGACAGATTTAAACAGGCAGACAACAGTTATTTCAGACATGTTTAAATAGGCAGACAACAAGCAGATTTTAGTAAAAAATTTATGTGTGTTTTCTACCTTTGCATATACTTTAGATTCATTGAGCAGTTTAACAGATACTCACATATTTTATTTCTTATGTCTTTACAAAATTTCTTTTAAAAATATGCAACTGATTTATTTGAAAATTATTATTATTATTTTTTTATTTAATTGTTAGTAATAAGTTTATTACTAACTGTTTTAACTTTTCTGCAATTGGGTTTTAGCAAATCTTCACTTCCAAATGAAATATAGAAATTTTTCTCACGAAATAATTTTAAAAATTAATAAAAAAAAACCTTCAACACTACTGCTATTTTTGCTATTATTATGTTATATCTGTAAATACCATAAAATGTAGGAATAGAACCCAATAATACATTTGCGATTTGTACATCATTTGAAATCCAAACCTTTAGATCTAAGTGCTTCAATCATTCTACTACAACAGCATCTTTTCTTTATGCTCCTTTTCTTCTTTTTTGATGGGGATCGTCCATAAATTACATAACGCAAAATTAAACTTATAGAAAAAAGGCAAAACATTAAAAGTTTTCCCTCGCAGATTCATTAATCAAACCAAGTAAATAATCAACGTTTAAAGTCCGAAACCACCGCGCAAAAGAACAAAATGATCTCCTACTTATATTTTTAAAATAAGTTTTGCGTTGCGTAATTTATAGACGATCGCTTATTAACAAAATTACAAGAAGAGCTAACATCGCAAATGCATATCTAATAGCTCAATAAAATCATGACTGAGTTTGTGTCGATTATTAAATTATTTTAAAACCGTTTTGACTAACTAAAAATATTAGCCATGTATTGACTGACACAAAAAAATCGTAAGTTTTATGAAAAAATAAAGCTAAAAAGGTTTCCGTCAAAAATAATCAACCATCATTTTTTTTTTACTATCTTTTTATTGTGATAACGATCTAAGTTCTATTGCTCATATTAGCTATTGTTGTGATATTTGTCAAAATAATATATTTATATAGAGAGGTGGAAAAAGTAACAAAATATTGTACCAAGTAAAAGTACCGTTACTTAAGTATAATGTTAATTAGTACAAATACACGTTACCGGTTGAAAAAAGTAAATTCCAATTTAAGCTAAGTTGGAATAGCCGCAGTCGAGTGTACATACATAAGCTGAGATTTTATGTTTAGCTAGGTACTCTGTTAATCAAAAGATATGTTTTTCTAGATTTGAAGTTAAAAAAAAATTGGCGTCACAAAATCAAATCCCCCTCCCCTATATAACAAATCGTCTCAAAATCGCTAACCCCTCCCCATTCCTATCGCATGATTTAATTTCTGAATTTCGCTTAAAACATTAGTGAAAAATATAAGAAAACAAACTTATAAAAAAGTACTATTTTTTATCTACTAAAAGAATCAAATCATAGTTTTTGTGATACAATACTAATACTTAATAATTTTTTTAAATTGTAACGTTTATATTTCAAATTTGATAAAGTAATTTAAAGTATTTAATAACGTAAGTAAATGTAATTGTTAGTCTCTCTCTCTGTCTCTCTCTCTCTCTCTCTCTCTCTCTCTCTCTCTCTCTCTCTCTCTATATATATATATATATATATATATATATATATATATATATATATATATATATATATATATATATATATATATGTATATATATATATATATATATATAAATATATATATATATATATATATATATATATATATATATATATATATATATATATATATATATATATATATATATATATATATATATAC